TCAGGTCCCATTTCACAAAAAAACCCAGTAAATTCCCAGTAGTGGCACCATCACAGCCCATCCAGACCTTGCCATCATTCCCTGTTAGATTTCATGCTTAAAACCCCTGCAAAATGTCATTTCCTCCCATTTCCCAGGCACTCAGCTCAGCTTCAGCTCTCACACAAAAGCTTTAGGGGAGGAACATCTCTCTTTTTGCAGGGCAATTAGCAGGATATCAAGTCAGCAAAGAACCAGAGCTGCCCTCAATCGGGTCTGAGCTTTCCAGATTTTTCCTTCTTCAGGACATCTTCAAATATTGCCGATGTTCTAAATACCCACAAAGAGGGATCTTCACACTTGAAGCAAGACCAGCAAAAACAAAACAAAAAAAAAATACCCAGAAAGAGCCATTATTACAAAAATAAGTTGAATCCTCATCATCCACTCTGGCCATTATTACAAAATTAAGTTGAATCCTCATCATCCACTCTGCTTTTATATCATATTTTGGGAGTTTAGAGGTGTTTTGTTCATAGATCAGCTCCTTTTATGATGTTTCTTAAAGCAGAAAACAAATAATACTCAGTGTTCTTATAGCCCTTTGGAATCTGAGAGCTGTGTGGGACTTTCCTTGCACACCTCAGAGCAAAAGGGAAAGATAAAAATCTCACTGGGGTTGACAAGATCACCCTGAGCTGGAGTGTCCCTCAACGTGGCACCACTTCATACCTATAAGTTCATCCCATAAGGCTGAAAACCAAATTTGGCATCAGGAATTTGGAATGATAATTTGAATTCCAGCTCAAATAATAACACATGTGGCAGAGGAGCTGGATTATGGGGATATTTATTGGGGATCAAGGCCCTGAGCTGGTGGTCGTGGTGCCCTGCTTATCTTCATCCTGCACAAACTGAGGTTATTAATACACTTTTAGCCACATGGCACAGCACAGAGGGATGGTAAATAAGAAGAAAAATGCCCATTTTAGCCCTGAGAGAAATAATACATTTTAAAAAATGCAGGACATAAGAACCTCAAGATCATTTGTAAGTGAAATTGTTACCTCACAGAGCTGAAGGAGGGTTAGAAATAAATTATTCCATCCAGGTCACAACAACCACTTTTCCTTTCCATGTTTTCTTGTTTTCATGGGTGACAGTTTATGGAATCAAAGCCATCCTGAAAACCTGATCAGTTTAGAGCTCAGGCAGGAAAAGACATCAGAGCCAGGGATGTGGGCACACAGAAATTGCTCAAATGACAGGAAAACCGAGCTTCCATCCACTCAGGGCAAAATCCACTTTGCTTCCACTCTCCAGCTGCTTAGAAGAGCTTTAAAAACTCTCCCTGTCCCCATTCATCTTGAATTTCAGTGGGGAAGATGAGGATAATGTTCCCTATTGCACACACCAGGGAATTATCTCAATCCCAAATTGAGATACTTGCCCAAATCCACTCCCCTGTGTTTGAACAGGGTCACATCTTCCACCAGAAGCCTGGGAGGAGCTGCTGCCCAGGAGGGGCAGGAGAATGGCAGGCAAAGCTGGATTTTGGGATGGGGCTTTGCTAAGCTGCTCTGCCAGCCTTGCCCTGGCACCAAGCAGCAGGATGGGGATCAGCAAAGCCAAAATCTCACTCTGGGCAGCCTTCAGGGCTTGGAGGAGCTTCCAGGTGCATCCCAGGGATTGCAGTGAAACAACACACGGGCACAAGCCCCAAACCAGCCTTGCCCAAGGCTCCACTTTCCCTTTCCCCCAGTGCTTATCCCAAATAATCCAACAAGTCCCCAAGCTGGAGGGAAGCCTGACTCACTCCCTATCACAGCCATCAATCATCCACACACGTGGCTTTGGTGTGTGGAAAAAAAGGGAATTGCTTTAATTTTCCAATAGTTCAGGGCCAGATATCCCTGCTGGCATGGAGAGCTTTGAATTTTTCATGGGGGCCCTTCGCTCCTTATTCAAAGTTTGTGTTTTCAGCTCCTTCCCACTGCAAACCAGAGCAGCTGCAGGAGATTTGGGGCCTCCTGGCTGCTCCATCCCACAGCACATGGCTTTGCTGGGGTGTTTTGTACCCTTCTCCTGGCCATGGGGACAGGTAGATATCCCCCTGAGGGCAGCACCCATTGATTCCTGGCACTGGGTTTTGGGAAGTGGCTTTGGAGCAGAGCTGCTCTCCAAGGAACTTTTTCCACAAGGAGAGAGGCAGGGAGATAAAAGACTGGCCATGGGAGAGAAGACACTTTTTCAGATGTTTTTGATCCCCCTTTTCTTGCTGGAAATCTTCCTGCACAGTCTGAGTTTCCTGAACAGCAAATCTGCCCCTTTCCGAGGCCTCAGGAACCCCAAAGGTGACAAGAGCTGCACTCCAGGACCTGGGTTTCCTTGAACAGCATTAAACACATCTGCAATGGGACCAAATCCAACCCCTGACTTCCAAAGGATCTTGGAAGGAGTTTTTCCTTGGCTCCTTTCACACCCCAACCCTCGGGCCAGGCTGGGACCTCAGCAGGGCCTGGGAGCAGCAATCCAGCCCTGCACCACTGCCTGGACACCCACACAAAGCTCACCCAAACATTTCCACCTGCCAAATTCCTCCTTCACAGCACTCCAGCCTCCTCCAGCTTTTGGGTTGGATTTGCTGGCTGGAATCAGCATCCCCTGAGCTCCAGAGCCACGCTGGGGAGGCCAGGCCAGTTTTTCCTGGCTATACAGACTCAGGCCGTGTTTACCCAGGGCTTGGAAAAATGATTCAACTTTTATTTTAGCTCAGAGGAGAGACCAAGGGGTCATCTTTAAGCTAAAGGTGGTATAAATAGAAGCTGAGTGAAAAAAGCAATGTACAGAGAGTCAGGAGAACCTCTCCAGGAGGGCGGAGGGAAGCAGGACCCCATAACCCTGAGCAGGGACATATTTAAAAGAGAAGGTTAATAGGGACCAGGGTCCAGGTCAGCTCCACCCACCTCTGGATGGATAAGGACAAGCTCCCAGCTGCCTCAACATATATATTTATGTATATTTGTGGCATAGGATGCAGAGCAAAAGCCAAAAATTCTGCAGCACTTCTGGCCCTGAGTGTTCTGCTCTCACACATCATGCCAAGCCTCTGTCAAAGTGAAGTAAGTCTGGGGGAAGAGAGGGCTGGGAGCTGGAAAATAACCCTGGTGACTAAAGCATGCAACTTTCTGGGGACTTACAGAACATCAGTATCTCAGGAAACCACCATGAAACACTGGGATGAAGTTACTTTTCACTCAGCTGCCAAAAAAAAGGGTTTAAAGCACAGCCAGTGGCACCCAAACCTGAGCAAGGCAAAGCCACCAATGAGGAGCTGCAGCACAGCCCTGCTGCTGCTGGAGTTGTTCTCTGTCACCTGCACAATCCCTGCTTCCTTCTCCAAGGCAGCATCCCCATCCATCCATCCATCCATCCATCCATCCATCCATCCATCCATCCATCCATCCATCCATCCATCCATCCATCCCTGGTGTGGTGCTTTGAGCTGTGCAAAGGATGTGGAAAGGACCAAGGGCATCCAAAAAGCATCTCCTACAGAGTGAGAGCCTCAGTGCTTCACAGGCTGATTCATTTGAGGTTTTGCCACCACAGAATCCCAGAATGGTCAGGCTGGAAGGCCCAAATTTCCCAGCACGTGGCACAGGATTGTGTCCAGACAGCTCTGGGATCTCTCCAGTGAAGGGAGGCTCCACACTCCACACCCTCTCTGGACAATCAACTCCAGCTCCCACCTGCACTGGGAAGAAATTCTTCCTCATTTTCAGGTGGAGCTTTCTGGGCATCAGCACCTGCCTGTTCCTCTTGTCCCACTGCTGGGTCCCTGCACACACAGACAGCCAGGGATGAGGGCCCCTCTCAGCATCTCCTCTCCAGGCTGAACAGCCCCAGCTCCCTCAGCCTTTCCTTGCCAGAGATGCTCCAGTCCCTTCATCCTCTTTGTCCCCCTGCTTTGGCCCTACTCCAGGACCTATTCTTGCCCTGAGGAGCCCAGAACTGGACACAGCTGTCCAGATGTGCCTCACAGGGCTGAGCAGAGGAATGAGGACTTTGCATCTCCCTGCTTACCCTGGCACTGCCTCCTCCACAGCCTTCGGTGCCAAAAGAAACCTGCAGGGGCACAAGGGAGAGCAGGAGCTCCACGCCCAGGAGTGGCCTCGGGGTGTTTTTATGGGGAATACAGAGCTCTCCTCCCATGGCTCACCCTCAGGAGGAGAAACCAGCTTAGTCACAGTGCTCTGGAAAAGCACAACCTCAGCAGGGGAACGGGGCCTCTCCGCCTGGAAACGCGCCCGGCACGAGAGCAGCTTTCTCCACTTTCCCAGTTCATGGGGGAGGAGGAAGGAAAGGATCTTATTCTCCACAGGAAAAGGGATCCATGGATATCCCTGCACAGCACAGGGGTGTGGCTCCATCTCCATCTCACGCTGTAGGACATGGACAGCCATCCTTTTCTCTGGAGGTGGAGATATGGGTCCCTGGTGTCCTCTCCACCCTTCCCAGCACCTTTTACTGAGAGCAGAGAGTTTTATGAAGCCCTTCAGAGTCAGACTCACACCACAGCCCAGGCAGACACAGCCCCAACAGCACCTTTGTGGCTTTGCCTCACAACGTGTAAGAAATCTGTAAATGCTTAAAAAAAAAAAAAAAAGCAATTTCCCTCCTTTTCTAACACTGATGGAGGCTATAACTGAGTAAAACATCCACAAGAAGCAGCAGTGAATGACTCCATCCCTTCAGACACTCACAGGAAATTAAAGACCTGTTATTAGCAGCAAATACAGGAGAGTGATGCCTGCAGGTCCATCCACCCATGGATGATCCCTTGCCACACAGAAGCCAAAAGGAGTACCAACATTAGCCAAATATCACTCTTTCAGCTGGAAAACCTGATCCTCTTGGTCCAGACCCACCCAGAACTGGGAGGATTTTCCCCTAGCACTCCACATTCCCAGTCTGCAAGGCAGCACAGCCCCAGAGTGTGAGGAGAACGTGGCACCTACTGGTTTGGGGCAGTGGATGTATCTTGCCAAGCTGATGATGAGGTCGTGGGTGATGGGATCCACCAGGTTTCGGAAGCTGGCGTAACGATAGAGGACATCATCCAGAGAGGTGGACTCCATCCCTAAATCCTGCAGGAAACAGGGCAAAGGAGCAAGGTTAGGTGAGATAGAAAAGCCAGTGGTTCTTAAAGTCAGCCCTCACTGGAGGAGAAGCCAAGGAGAAAATGATCCCCAGCAGCTCCCACTGAAAATGTTGTTGGAGGGTTCTTGTTTTCCCTGCAGTGTTGGTGACAAAGAGAAGGAAGGGACACCTTGTGTGACCTTGAGGGAAGCTGCACTCCCAGCCTTCACCTGCTCTGCAAAGAGGCTTTAGGGCTGCAGGATCAGCCTCATAAACCCACGGAGTCAATGACACCCTTGCAACAGGATAAAATCCAAGATGACCCCAGAGAACATCACACAGAGCTGCAACTGGAGAATAAATGCAGCACTGGAGGAGTTCTGGGGCTGCCATGCACAGGGAGGGAGGAAGGAGCCTAAAACTGCAGCACTGGAAACAGGAGGATGGATTGGAGAGAGGGAAGAGCAAAATGCTGGGTTAGACTGACTGGGAAGGAGAGGAAGCTCTGCCAGTGGAGACTGGACAAGGTGGAGTCAGGAGCAGTTCAGGTGGAGCTGATCCTGCCCCAGGGATGGGCCAGACCTCCTGAGGTCCCCTCCAAGGCTGCTCTCTATGGTTTGTAATTCTTAGGCTGAATAATTTGAGGAATTTTAGCAGAGAACTCCCCGTATGGAATACATCAGTGCACAGGGATGAGGAGGGGAAGGGTTATACACAGTGTGCTCCTTTTACCTCAAATATATTTGTGTGTATAATACCCAAATACTCTTTTTGTTCCTTTTTGAACTTCTTTTACTTCCCATGGAGCTGGTGGCACCCGGCACAAAGAATTTCCTTTTGGCAAACTCAAGCCAATAACATCTTGGCACCGTGCAATAAATTAAAGCTTGTCCTGAGCTCAGAGATGCTCCAGCCCCAAAAACCCCAGGGGAAGGCACATTGCTTGTAGGTGTGGATGCTCTTGATTTCAGACAGGTTGAAAATAAACATCTACACTTAAAAAAAAAAAAAAAAAAAATCCACTGTGCCTTCAGACACAACAGCCCGAGGGATCTCACATTACAGCAATTACAGCTCAGGCCACAAACGAGGTGACAAGTGTTTATCCCACTGGTTTCTTTGGTATTTTTAGGATCAGCCCTGCAGCACTGCCTGAGTTAACACCAACTCCTTGACTGCAAACAGGTTATTTAGTAAAAAAAAGAGCTGAGGCAGTTGAAAAACACACACGTGTGAGGCTGCCCTGTTGGGAAAATCAAGTGGCCAAACTGATTTCTGGTCTGTCTCACAGCTTCTGCCAAATTACTATTTACAACTTATAAAAATCATATTATATGATACAAATTATATGTATTATATTGTACAAATTACTATTTACAAATTTATACAAATTATTTTTGTACTTTAAAAAAAAAAAAGAAAAAAAAATCTCAGTGTGGAGAGAGCTTGGGCTCCTTTGCAAGAGGAAGGAGAAATAGAAATTGTGGAGGGAGGTGCTCAGAGGAAACTCCTACTTTTCCAGGGAGAGAAGCACCAACACCAGCATGGATGTCACCTTCCCAGTTTGGTAAAGCTCAGCATTAGGATCAAGCAAACATCAGATAAAAGCTGGATTTGGTCCATGATCTATGGCAAACACCAGGCATTACCAGAGGGCCACTCTGGGGACCTGGGAAAACTCACTGGGACCTCTCAGAATCAAACCAGGCTCAGCTTCTTGCCCCTTCAAGCATCTCAAAACTCTTCACCATTTTCTCCTCAGCTAAAATGAAAACGTCCAGCTCATAAATCAGAGAATTTCTCCTCCTCTCTCCTGGGAGAACTTTACATTTTCCACATGGAGCCTTCCCTCCTCCCTCCTGGAATTCACATTTTTTAGGCACAGATTTCTTTCTCAGCTGCTCCCCAAACCTCTCTGCCACACCAACATTGTCTCTTTTCCACCACACACATTATTTTAAAGCCTCTGAAGGCTGAAACTTGTTCGAGGCCAAGTGATGAGCTCATCTGCAATTTAATAACTTAACACCAGTTCATGCTGTCAGCAGCAAATCACCCATCACTGGCTTTGCAGAAAACGCCCAGCATCTGGCTCCAGCCACTTTTTTTTCAGCACGTTCCTTTTTCCCAGGGGATTTTACCTGGATGGCAAGTGCAGATTTCAAATAAATAAGGGTTTAAAGTGATGGGATTTATGAGCCAGGCATGGCTTCCTCAGGACAGATTTGAGGGGTGTTCAGGAGTGGATCCAAACCCCTGAACTCTGCTGGGGTGTTTTGTCCACGTGTGGCAGGAAAATGGGAATCTCTGCAGGAAAAAGGAGAATTCTCAAACAGGAATCACCCATGACCTCTTTGCAGTTTATCCCATTTGTTTCCAGTTTTAGGAAGCTGAAAGGCAAACCATTGATCCATCCTTATCCACTGGAAGGAAAATTTCCTACCACCAACCAGCTGAGCCTCCATGGGAGACTTCTGCAAATCTAGCAGTGTAAAGCTATCAGGTTCAAAAAAAAAATAAAATCCAACCACCTACCCCACTCTGAGCGGTGAATTTGAAATTTATACCCAAAAATCCAGCAGAGAAAAAAAAGTAACGTGTTCCTCCAGCAGCCAGCAATAGAAATTCCCCAGACACAGTCATGAAAGGTATAAAAAACCCCAATTATTTTTGAAAACAAACCCCCAAACCCAGTGAGAAGCACAGGGATGCTGTGCCCAATCTGTTATTTGCAGCAAAACCCATAAAAACAGCTCTTTTCCCCCAAAATTCAGAGCTCACCCATCACTCTGCAGGCCAACATCACCCAAGGAAAACATCTGGGAGCCCACTTTTCTTTCTCTCATGTAAAACTTCTTATTCCTTTCTGCTGTCCAAAACTGCAGCTCCCAGCCTTTGGAAGCTCCAAGTTGTGTCTCCAGCATCCCCCAAGCCACACAGAGCCATAACCAACCACAGCCAAGCCCATTTTTGCTTATTAAACTATTTATCACTGCAAATTGAATTGTAATTAGGGGAAAATGCAGCAGGTCCCCGTGAGGAGTCATTGAGAAAGCAGCTTCTGCTGTTGTTGTTTTCACTAACACCGAGTTATTGCTGCCCAAATGAGGTTCCTGTGCAAAAAAACCCTCATCACAGCTGCTCACAAATATCCCAAGAGCTGCTGGTTTGGTCAGCACCTCTTCCAAAACTCCTTTATCTCCACTAAATTCAGGGCAGCATCCTGAATTTCCAAGCAGGGGGGTTTGTGTTGTAAACAAGAGTCAGGCACTGAAGGAAGGAAGGATTAATTCAGTGTTCCATCCATCATCTGCTCCAAGTTACCTGGGAAAAATGATTCCAGCAGGTGGGAGTAGTGTGGGGAGGGAGGTCAGCTCAGAGAGAGGGGTGGGATGTGACTCAGCCCTGTGTTCCTCTGGATGTTGGACACAACCTGTGTCCTGTGGGGAAAATCCAGCCACTTCCCCCTACTCTTCCCCAAAAAGATTTTTAAGGTAGGAATCGATTTCTGGTTGAGAGAAAAGCACCCCAAAGGTAATGATGTCACAGCATATTTTGGGACAAAAACCAGCCCTGAGCCACACAGAGATGATCAAATTTGCACTTTTGAGGAGGGCAGGCAGCATTTGGGAGCTCAGCACACCTGGAAGGGGGGTCCCAAAAGCCACCCTGGGAACCTCCACACAAACCAACAACTGCTTCTGCAGACTTCATGTCCAACCCACCAGCCTGGAGTAAAATCAGAGTTTAAATATGTGGGATATTTTCTGTTTCACAGAGTTAATATCGGTTTGGGAGCCACAAATGGCTCATTCAGGCACTGAGGGTGCAGTAAGAGAAGGGAGTCGATGCTTCAGGGAAGGAGCAAATATTTCCCTGGCAGACTGACTCAAATAATAAATGGTGGCAGCTTGAACCCCCTCCAGGAGGCTGGAATTGGAGGAACTTGGAGAGATGGATTAATGGGCAGAGATGTGATGCTGCCAGCCAGATAATAAACAACTGAGAATAGGAGATTTGCAGAAAAATGCTCTTTTATTTCATACTGCCAGGCAAAGGCAATGACTCCAACTGGAATTTGGCCAGATCATAGCTACAGTTAAGATTTCTTCAGGAGAGTGGATGTTTAATGAGGATGGCCTCAGCTCTGCTGATTTACAGAGCCCCTGGGATCCCAGAAAAAGCTTGGAAGTTCTGTTTGGGTAAGGTGACTCCAGGATTTGCTTTGAACAACTCCAACAATTCCCATCCACCACTGCCTTTAACCCAGTTCTGCCCTGAGCTCACCAAATCTCATCCACTCATCCCTCCTAAAGCAGCAGGAGCTGCCCAAATCCTGTTTTTCCATCCAAGCCTGGGGCTGGGGCTCCAGCTGGGGCTCCAGCCCCAAGCCAGGATCCTGCTGGCCATGCAGAGCCCGCACCAGATGGCTCCTGGTGGCACTTGTCACTTATCCCTGCTGCTCCCAGACGGATGGGTGACAGCCCAGCCTGCCAGAGGCACAAGAGACTCTTTAGAACCTTCCCAAGGAGAGTGGTGCCACAAAGTTTTCCCCCTACAAAGGGAAGAGGCAGAAAAAGCTGCAGGTCAAGGAGGATTTGAGCAAAGCACAGCTGAGGGGTCACTCTCCCACCCCCTCAGCTCCTGGGAGCCAGCTCCAGCCAGAGCCCCACACATTCCTGGCTAAAACCCAAAGAAAAAGGTTCATGGATCAACCCTGCACAACACCCACCCTGTTAACTCCAGTCTGGCTGCTGGGCCTCCACAGCTCTGCAGTCAAGCTTTAAATGAAAATAGAACCAATTTAATCAAATCTGCCATTTCCATCCTCGCGTGTCTGCCCAAAGAGCTTCCTGGAGCATCCCAGGTGCTGCTTGGAGTATCCAAACACAGGTTAGGAGCAGAACTTCATCAATTTCTCCTCCATTTTGCCTGTGACCAGCAGCTCTCAGGGCTGCAGAGGAACTCGGCCCCAGCACGGGGCTGATGCCCACGATCAGCCCCAGCC